GCTCATGCAGCCCAGGGCAGAAAGACCTCAACGTTTCCCTCTGCAGCACGACAGACAGACCGGCACAGGCATCAGACCTCGGCCGCAGGGTTGGGAGCGCAGGTGGGGAAGGGGCAAGCTCGAAAGACTCCTGCCTGAACGCATCTGGGGCCTTAAGGCTTTGCCTCTCCAGAGAGGGGGAACTGGTCCCAGCAGTGCATCCTTCTCGGTACGTTTCAGAGGGACTGCAGAAATGTTTTGTATCCTACCTTTGGCCCCGTCTTCTCCATGTACCCCTCCTTCAGGTAGTTTCTGGAAAGCTTTGGCACCAGCTGGAGCAACCGACCAGGAAAGGAAAGAGTACAGCGTTAGATGGAGACACGCACACGCAATCCGGGTGGCTGTGGGCAGTCGGAAGGGAGCTGGTGGGAGGAACGGACCCACCGCAGCTCCCAGGGCCCCAGACCATGCGATTGACCTCGGTTAAATGCTGCTGTCACACTTTAAAGTGCCTACAGCAAACAGGCAGATGAAGAAACACGAAGCATCTCTGCAGCAGCTAAACAGCAAAGAGGGGCCCTGAGAGAGCCCCCGCGCCAGATCCTGCTTCACCCGTCTGCTCTGGCAACAAATCTGCCCCAAATTCCTGAGGAACTGAGCCTCGATTGCCTGGCGGGCAATTTGCCTCAGGTAGGGGCTGGGAAAAAAACCTGCAGGATCCTGCCCGAGAAGGTTTCGGGGACCCGCTCCCCGCCACGTCAGGGGCCTTCCTGACACCGGCACTTCTCCCGCTACCTTACACCAGCCCTCATGTGCCATTTGCCTTTAAAACACCATTAACACATGATGCCTGTGAACTCCCCCTTCCTGGAGATATTCCTGACAATAAGTACCAATGCCTGGGATATTTTTAACGCTGCTTGGGAAAGAAAAGCCAGTAGCTGTGAGATCTTTGCAGATGCCTTTGAAAGTCTCTTGAAAAGCGACGAGGGAGCCTCACCAACAAGCGGAGCTGACAGGTCTGATGAAACACTCCTCTGCCTCCCCCTCCCCTGCCTCCTGCCTTTTATTTAAACAAGTTATTAATGGCTCGGCTTTCAAAATCAAACTCCTGCAACATGTAATTCTGTCCAACAGAAAGCTCTGATCAAGCAGATACGTGTTTGCATGGAAAAAAACGTCCCAAAATACAACAGCCGCACCGGCTGTGCCGCGTCTGGGGGACATTCACCCCAGCTCCGCGCTGCAGATGTTTCCCTGAACACTTTGAGGGGTCGTTGGATTTGTCAAGGTCATAAATTAAACCTTGCTAAATGTCACACGCCTCTATTTCCCCCATATAAAAATCAAAGAGAAGGGGAAGATAAATAAAAATATCAACCGCTCATCTCCCACCAGCACAAGTGGGTGAACAAATCTACCTGCTCTACCATTAAGTGCTGGACAAAATACGGACTATTTTAGGCCTGTGGGTTTTCCTGGCAATTCTGTGCAGATGAGCCAACCAATTTTAATAACGTCAAAGGCTATGGAGAGAGGCGAAAAACGATCAAGGGAACAACACACTGCCCAGGGACTGTATTGCTACGGTGGGCTAATGAGGCTCTTGTTACGTTTTTTAGTATTTGCCTAGTTTGCAAAACTGGCAAATACTAAAACTTTTTGTATAAAATGGTCTGAAGTCTTTCACGCAGGAGACTGGATACCAGCTGTGGGACCTTTCTTCTTCCTCTTCCCCTTGCTCTCCCTCTGGGGCGCGCGAGCAGCTCCTCCATACCCAGCATCCCGGGAAGCCGCAGCAGCACAACTTGCAATATTACAGCAACTATCTTTTTCAAAGACACGTATGGCTGCTGGCACTGTATGGGTGACAACAGTGGAATGACTCACATGCACGACTCTTAATTTTGAGTTTTAGCACATGTGCATGCACGTGCCCACACACACACACACGCACACAGTGTTCCCAAGGCTGCACGTTGTTAACAGGTGCTGCACGCAGGCTCTACATCCCACCGCAGTAATTTCAGCACAGCGATTATAAGGCAGATGCTGACGAACGGAGCCCCCTTTGAGCTTTCCAGCTTGTTAACAAGATGCTAAAAACGAGTAGGAAAAGAAAAAGCGCGGAAAACTCACATCAGCATCACTGGCTCCAGGGAACGCCACTTGTAAGTAATGAAAACGCGCTGCCCGAATGGCATTGAACCAATCCACAATTTCCTAGTAACGAGAAAGAAAAGCAGAGTGAGTAACGTACAGTCCGCACGTAACAAAATAACGTGATCCTGCTACATGTCATCTTTCCCGTCACTTTGTCCCAAGCGACAGAGCCCAGCTTAGCGGCAGCTCTCAAACTAACCCCGGGGGCTCCCCGCTGCCGCGGAGGAGGAGCGCCCGCACCGCGCGCTGAGCCGCTGTGCTCGCCGTGGGTCTCCCCCGAGGGGCAGCACCGAACGTCCCACCACCCTCCTGCGCTTCGAGACGCCCTCTGAGCTCAGCAGACCCCAGCCGACACCCAGGAGAGGGAAGGACTTCGGCACGTCTCCAAATGGGGAAAAATGGCATCAAATCAGCATTCGAAAACCAGTTCGTCTCTCACATCTGACTCCACGTTGATGTTGATGCTAATTTTTTAATGCTGTTTTTATTTGCAAAGAACGAAGTGCTTGCACTCTGCTTCCCAGCCAAAACCCAGCGGCGACCAGCTGGAGAGCCGGGGGTCTGGTGCTGATAACGAAGGCGCTGGGCATGTGTCGAGCCCTGCAGGCAGATGACTCTTGCGAAGCTTCCCCAAAACAGCATTTACTTCAACTGTCCCCAGGGGGAACCAGCAGCATCAACTGCTTAGCCCAGGTCAGGACACGGGAAACACCGGTGCGACAGTGCAGGGCCTTTTAAGCACCAGCAGTATCCAACTTTAATGCCCCCCAACTTCATCATCACACCTGCAGTCTCGCCCCAGATTACATGGGGGGCGGAAACTGAACCAGAGGAGGCAGCACGACCTGCCGGTAAATACAGGTTGTGGGAGGGAGCGAGGCGACCAGGGAAAAGCGTCCGAAACCTCCGCAGCCTGCTCTACTCGCCCAGTGGATCCTGGCCACCCAGTCCCTCCGGCAAGGGAAAACCGACTGCAGGCAGGGGGCAAGATGAACGCTTCAACACCCAATTCCTGCTCAGACGCTGAGGCCTTACTGACATATTTCAATGTTTTGCTAAAAGAGGGACCAAGCATCTCTATCTTGGGCTTTACACTGCATATCCGAGAGTGTTCTGTGGAAAATCGATAGCGATACTGAAGTCCCAGCTGAATTTCACAGATGCTCTGGCACTTCTTCCTTTCCTTGGCAAGGATCTCTCTCAGGTTGTGATCCCCCCCTCCTCCCAAAATAGTGGTGATTTACTTGTTTGTTTAAAGCTCATCCTTTGATTCGCCTTTGGTGGGAATCACAGAGCTTGCGCTGCGCTGGACATGTTTTTGAAGGTTTCACTGAGAAATGTCATATTAACTTTCAGTAAGTGATCCGCACAGGGCACTTTCAAATACTGTCTTACATTCGAAAGGTACGGGCAAATTAAAGGCATTTTGGAAGAAGAGCTGCAACAGCTGTCTGCACCTGGGTGCTCAGCTGCGAGGAGACCAGCACTGAACTATCCGGCTGTTATTAATACATGCGAAGCATCATACTTCACACATCAGGGACACAGTCAATGAGCCAGACTTGATCCTAAAATAAACACTTCCAACTCTTCTGGTCGAGGCTGCTGTAGCATAGGAAAGACCATATCAAAGTAGAAGTCAGCCTCCAGTAAGACTTCAATTTTTGTTTGTTTTAAAATGATTGAAAAAAAGCAGCTAGCTGCATAATTTTGGAGATCTCAGTTTTACAGAGCTGAATTTCAGATTCCTCAAAAATGGTCTAATGGGGCAAATATACATCATCTAAAAGGTCAGATGCTTTGCTTTGGCTTGTTAATCTATCACAAGCCGAAGGAAAAAAAAACATAATAGGACATAAACAACGCATGTTTCGGGAACCGCTGACCTATTTGTCTGAGGTTTGACTTACCACTTGCTTCTCTACCTGCAGCAGCTAAGCAGACCCCAGACAGCAGCAGAAAGAGGATCAGCAGGAGGAACTGGGCTCTGAACTTAATGATGACCAAAACATGCTGGAGGTTATGCAAAACAAGCTGCAATGTTAAAATGTTTATATTTCACATAAACTTCACCAAAGGGAGGGCGATACTGTTGATGTACAACTTCTTGCGTGAGGGTTGCCTCCTTGATCACAACGTGGGAGAGGGTTCACCCTGCAGCGAAGCAGGAGATGAAACCGTCATCGACTCCAGATAGCTGATCGTATCTCAGAATATTAATCCCATTGCTGGAGGGAAGGGGCACCACCAACTTACTTTCCACAAACCTAAACCTGCGTATATAACCCCAGAAGGCTCGACTGCTAAAAACGTATTGAATTTCCTGCACGTCTAATTACGAACAATACCGCAGATGCAGTGAGAAGATTATAGCTGATGTATTAAAATAGCATAAAACTGCTCAGTGTTTTTAGACAGGCAGATAACTTCTCATTAGCAGGGAATCCTTTCACTGCTCTATGTCTCAGAGTGAGCAGAGAAAATGAAGCACCGCCTGCTCCTTTGCAAATGGCTCTTCTAGGCTCTCAACTTCCTCCTAATCTAAGTGCCACTGCAGGCTCCCACGCCACATGCCTGACTACGCCACCCCTCCAGCCCCCGGCTCGAACCGGAGCCACCCACATTGCAGCAATGCCAGTCGCAGACTAACAACCCCAGATAAAAATGCAACTTCTCACTGTACCTGCTGACTCCAGACTGTTCAAAAATCCCTGGAGCTCAAGCAATGGACCCCGCAGGTATTACTCTTCCTGCTGCTGATAGGTCCCTCATGCCACCTCTTCCCTTGCGGAAAGCTCCTGGTGTCACTCAGGAAAGGAGGAGCCCTGGGGAGGAGGTTTTTGCTAGCATGCCTGGAGAAGATGCAAAGATCTTGGTTCGCACCCTAAAGGGTGGCCTTTCTTGGCGAGCCAGCCGGCACCTGAGGATACTAGGGGCAACGGTAATACAAGCAGGGGTGGCAGCTTTCCATGCTGCTCCTGTGGTAGCTTGAAGGAGAAGTCCTGTAGAGGGAGCTTCAGTCCCAGACAGGAACTCGGAGCAGTGGGAGACTCACTTCCACAGCTTCCAGTCCGGCTGCTGCACTGCAGGGAGCAGTGCCAGCACAGCTCCTAAGAGCACTGCTCCTGCTGCACTGCAGGGAGCAGTGGCACAGCTCCTAAGACCCATCTCCTTCAAACCGCACTGCTCTCCTCTCCTCCCAGCCATGCACAGGAGGGGCCGGTCATCTTGCAAACAGCTTAACTTAGTTACTTTAAATCTGCATTTTAGGTTATTTCTATATACACTTTCAGTGGACAAAAGGCCCTGGTTGTGTATCACCATCTCCCAACTGCCCAGATAGAGACTTGGGGCCAGTAAAAGGCCTCTCTCTCCAAAGGTTTTCACCGTTTCCACAGCATCAGCAGGGTAGGCAAAGATAACTGAAGGCAGGTGGCATGTATTTTTGCTCTAATTTCAGGGTGAACTCCTGCAGCTGCAGGCCGGGATGGCCAAGGCCCAGCCCACTGAAACCAAAGAGCTGCGCTTCATGTGGTCTGTGACCATGGACAGGGGACAGAGGTCCTATGGTGTCCCCACCATACCAGGCCTGCCAAGCAGATCTCCAGCTACCAGGGGAGCTTTAGGTCCACCCTAGGCTGCTGCGAAAGATAGGGATATCTGCTGATAGGGAAGCATGCAAAGAAGGGACTGAAACACGGGCTACATGACATCCTTTAAAACGGTCAGAACCTGACGCTCGGCTTGCAGGGTACCTCCAGGCTCCTGCTCTTACTAGATAGCTACGTAGTGAAAGCGCCAGGGTGCATCTGGTTTTGCGGCAAAGGAATCAAGTGGGAGATAGCACCCAGCACGCTGAAGTGGTGCTGAGCTCTTCATCAGAAGGAAACCCTAAGTCCCACCGTGGTGGGAGGCCAGCCAAGCCGTGACGGGGCTACGCTGGGAGGGATCAAACCCCAGGTAACAGAGCTGAGGGCCGAAACTGGGCTAGCAGTGTTCCCTCTCAGGGGAGGCAGCGCTCGCCATGTGTGCCCAAGGGCGTTAGGAGAGGACGTGGTGGGACTTCTGGGGGAGTACAGGAGGGAGCCACAGCAGCGGCAGATCCCACGCGAGTCTCCAGGTTCTAAGGGTGACAGCTTACCCTGGGTGCATGAACTTCTCTCACCCCTCACTCAACCTAATGGACAGAGCAATTTTGGGAAGTCTAAAGAAGTTCAGCTTACAAGTTACTGGGTGACATCAGAGATCTTCCTGTCGCTGCCGCGAAGGCAGAGCGACTCCGCCGACGTCCGTGGGGTTTGACCCGTGAGACCGTGAGTTCAGGCCAGTAAATCTTCCCTAGAGGAACGAGCTGAACTTCACAAACTGCAGTTCCACAAAGGCCACTGGCAGAGAGGTCATCATTTTAAAACCAAAAGTACGTGACAGTGAACTCCTGACGCTACTCCTGGCCTGGGTTTTCCCACATCCATCTTTTGGCCCAGGGCGAAGGACGTTTCTGCGCGCAGCTGGGCTGAGCGGCTCCTTGGAGCTCACTGAACCATAAACAGGCATGACAGCAGGACACATCCTTCGCAGGAAAGAGAGCTTCTTCCCCTTTTTCAATTTAAATTGTGGCCAAGGAGGTAACCGACAGCAACCTGAGCAATACTTTGCTGTGTTAAACCAGCACCTGGCGACAAGGGGTGCCTGCTCCGCGGTAGGCGACTTGCACCCCACGCTGCTCAGAGAGAATGGAGGGAAGGGCAAATTCGGGAGGAGCCCTGCCGGAGGAGCTCACCGGGAGTCAGCAGTGCGCTGTGCTCCCCGATGACCGAGGCCCTGGTGCAAGGGGAGGAGGCTGCACAGGCTGAGCCGGGGCACGAGGCCGAAGAGATGCAGCCCTACGAATAAACTGCTGTGTGCAATGCAACCGGGAGGTGCACAGGAACAGTCGAGCTGGGCTGCCTCCCTGCCGAGGGGCAAGACCTGCCTTGTTTTAAGTGATGATCACTGCTTTCTTTTTATATACAAATACTAAGAAGGAGACTTCCTTTACATATCTATACTCAACTGCACACAGTCATCATAGGTATATTATACATATGGATTGTCTGTGTGTGTGTGTGTGTGTGTGTGTGTGTGAAATAAACATTTCTGAAAACAAGCTGAGCTTACAAAAACAAGCAATGCCACTAACTAACTCAGCCCGAAACACTTAATTTCTTCCCAGCAAGAGTATCTGACCTAGCCTTTAAACTGAACTGCATTTAAACTCTCTATAGCACAAGCCTGCCAGCACAAAAGGCTTTCTCCAGGTCTCCCTCACAACGCGAGCGACTGCAGATGAGAAATCAGCTTTGCTCATCTTCAAATCAAGGAATTCTTGTTTTTAGGTGGCATTACTGGTCTAGAGAGTGTGGAGATAAGTGATTGCGCTAAGAGCAGGGACTGCTTATCACTAGCGAAGCTGTCTGGTTCGCCATACCCAGGTGAACAAAGAACTGGTTGTGCACAACCCTGCGAATCCCGCTGTGCCTGCTCACGTCCTCAGAAAGCCTCCCTGACACGCAGGACCCCTCTGCTGAAGGTAAAGTCAAAGGATGATGGCCCTGTGACAGCCAGAGGAAAGTAAGCGTGACATGAACACGATCGCTTTCGGTTCTGACTAAGCAGCCACTCCAGGGCCACCTAAATTTCATGGTAAGACCCAAGTATTTGGGGGAGGGAAAAAAGGAGGAAAGAGATGAAAATGACGCTTTGAGATGGTATCCACTACAAGCCTGCCTAGTTCTGCTCTCTGAATGGACACGAATCCGTGGAGACAAGACTCAGCCATGGAAACACACTGCTGGTAAGTCCAAAGGGCCATTGTGGCGACTGGTCACTGATCTTCATAGTGGCCCCATGGGCTGATGCCCATCTGACACCCTCTAGGAGGGCTGGGATCCGACCCCCTCTCTCAGTGCACTGACCTCAGTGTCCTACTCTCCTTGATATGCAATGACCGTCCCAGGCCCGGGAGCCCTGCTTCTTGACACCTCCCCGCAGAGACAAGATGGGAATAAAGCTAGGTGATTTAGTTCAATACAAACATGTACATTTGCCTTCTGGAAAGCACAAGACAAGCAGAGATCCTTGCAAGTCCTTAGATTGAGTCCGCTCACCTCTCCTCCTTCCATTCACCTTGTATCTGCTGGGCACGGAGGAGCTTGCCTCAGAAAAGCCTCTGCCCCTTAGGTCTTGTCGCAAGCAGAGAAACAGCAATTCCCTTTCAAGTGCCAAGAGGCACTGTGGGGAAAAAAGGGAGCATCTGCCCCTCCTTCCAAACTAAGAGTGCAAAAAGCCACTCAAACCACTGCCTCCATCAGCAGCAGCATGCTGTCTCCTGGGCTGCGCCACGCAGGTCCCATGACCCTGGTCAGCCTTAGCTAGGCTTTCAGACAGAGCTTCCCTAGGGCACATGAGGCCTCGAGCACAGAACAGGTGAGTTAGTCCACCCAGCCTGGCTTACGACTGCAGACCTCATCCATGAACCGAGGAGAACCCACTGGTGGGTACGGCTATATCACAAACAGCCCAACTGCTCTCAAAGCCAGCTGCCACAGGGAAACACGTCCAAGTTGGGGTTTTGTGCTGTCTACAGGCAGACATTATTACAGGCTTGTAATGGTCACATAACTTCTACCAATTTCCCCCATCTGCTCAAACACTCCCAGGAAGCTGTTTCTATTCCTTTCCATTTGCTTCCTATTATTTAAAAGGCCAGGTGTGCAATCTTTGTGCGTGGAAGTCCATATGGTTGAAGCTGGTTGTGGGTATCCCTTACCTTGGTTCCTCCCACATCCACAGCAGTTCATGGTTTGGATCAGAGTTTGGTGTGACATGGCCAGTGGCTCTGTGGAGCAACAATCCCGCAGGACCACAAACAAACCTTTTTTGTTTCCTCTACGCTCTCACCTTGCCATCTTCATGATAGACAAAGATGTTCCTTGTGCTATTGTCCTTCAAGTAAGTGATCTGTAGTCCATGCGGGTTCCCTATTTTTGCAGGCTGGAAAGTCGCATTTAAATGTTCAATCTTCATAATTGCTTTGGGTTCTTTTGCCTGGAAAACACAGCTGAGTGAGCAAACATCTGAGAATCAGCTTTCAAACAAGCATGCAGTCCACTTTATCAAAAAAGCTCTTGATTGAGGCCATTAGCTAAAAAATGACCAGCCCCCAAAACAGCCTGGTGTTAACACAGCACAGATTTTTCAGAGCCAACGACGAGTGTTTTCTGCCAGCCTTTCTGTTTTGGAAATTCAGCAGAGCTCATATAATGTTCAGAAAGGGGAGAGAGATTTCAGCCCAGAAGCAGGATGGATGGGCCAGGTTTCAAGTCAGGATTTTGTGCTATACAGACAAGCTACTTCAGCACACCTCCTCTCCCAGCCTCTTTTCAGCTGTCTCCTGACTCCTAGATCTCCTCCAGCCTTTTCACCTCATGCTAAATGGCCAGTGTTTACACCTGGATGAGCCCTATTAAAGAAGAATGCTTAGCCAGACCCAAAAAAGAAAACGCAGACTGCTAACTAGCAGGCCAGGACATTTTCTGCATCTCAGGCACCCACAGACAGCTCATCCTTGCTCTAGAAGGACTCAGCATTATCTCCCAAGTCCAGGTGCTAGGCTGGCAGAACGCATCATGCCCATTTCCACACCAGCCCCATCCTCTCACATGAGCTATTGGCCTCTGACTCGGCTCTGTGGTTTGCCCTCCAAAATGGGTACTCTCTTTCCTGTGGGAGAAAAAGATATATACCCGACAGCCCACGGACAGGGCAGCTTAGCCCATCTGCAAGCCTGGATCAGGCCCTTGCAAGCACCAATCGCACCTCCTCCCTCTGTGGCAGCTCTCTCGAGTTTCTGCAGTGCAGTTTGTCTTCCTACAAAACATGTCTAGAAACTTAGCACCCTTCTAGGACCGCAGAGAGAAGTGAAGTGCCAAACGTGAATAAAGTGTCTTGAGAAACAGAGATTATGCTCTTGGCAGCACCAGTTTTAGGCCACGCTAAGCCCCCTGATTTACACCTGAAATTAAGCAGATGAAATCATCCCTGAAAACCAATTCCCACCTGCTCAGTGGACATGAATCAACCCAGACAGGAAGCCAGCAGAGTCTCCAGACAGCAGCACTTGGGGTAAGGGTGAGAGAGGCTCTAACCCCCTGGAAGCCAGGTGGCATTTGGACATGTTTATATGTCTTTATTCTGCTTTAATGGGGACAAAACCCTATGGATTTTTTTAAAACTAACCAGCTAACCAGCTTTATGGTTTGGGGATCTGACTAGCTTTGAAGCTATTCTGTATCTTATGCACATCAGAGCTATCGCTGTAAGCTCCGAGAAGAACAGACACACACAAATGTGTGCGCGTGCTGACAAAAAGAGAAGGCTTCCGCTCTCTCGAGGGTTGCCCGAGATCATGGAAGGAGCTTCGCCAGGACTGACCACCACCACAAACCTCCCTGCCAAGACTGGGACATATCCGCTTGGGTTCCTCTACAGGCGCAGAGTCACAGCACAGATCTGCTGGTTGCTCCTGAGATGACGGCCAAAACCACATCTCTCTCCCCTGAGAATCCTCTGCTCCCTGTGGTGCTTGAACGGTTGGGTCTTTCTTGGCTGGAACAGGCCAAGACCAGCTTGGTGGCCAGGTCTGCTGTCCCAACAGCAGGCTGGTGATGACAGTCAAAGCTGCAGATGGAAAGGTGCATTACCCACAACCTTACACAGGCACGCAGCACCTGAAGCATCAAGGAATAAGACTACAAACCTCAAGAAATCGGGGAAAGGCAGGCTGCAGAGGGGGACGTGGCAGTCAGATCGCCCAGGACGCAGTCCCGGGATGGTGCCTGGATCCCATCAGCAGCAGGGCATAAAGACTGGGAGATGGCAAAGCAGCGACAGCGGCTGTCTTTTTGCATGGCTGTTCTTGGGGTTTTGCTGTGATTCAGGTGCAACATACACACCTCTCACTGTCAACGCCATGAGCCCGACCTGCACCAGGGCAGAAAGTCTCACAGCACAGATGGTCACGCAGCTGGACTGCGGCACCCCAGCGCCAAGCAGAAGTCCCTGCCCTAGAGAAGATGCAAGTGCAACTTCGGGAACTTGGGGACTTGCTGTGGAATGAAAACTGCCGTGCATGACCGGGGAGGGGAAATCCCAGCAAAGAGGATGTGTTCAGACAGTGCAGTTCCCACTGTGGCTCTGGTCAACAATGAAGTAAAACAACTTTAAACTACTCAAACAGTTAATAGCAACTGGATCAGGGCTGCTGGGACTTTCACTTCTCCCTTGGTAATGACTACCCACAAGACACAACTGCAGCACGCACATAAAGCTGAAAAGGAAGACAGCACCATCCGTTTAAGCTGGCTGGGATTGGAGAAGTGTGGCTGGATATTCCCCACCTCAGCACGGTGTAGCCAAACGACTCCCCAAGACAACGCAACAATTGAAGTATCTTAGAAGACTTGCTGGTGGTTCAGTCTGGGCTGCTATCACTGTTTTATTGGAGCTTGTGGCTTGTCATAGGGAACTTGTACAGCTATCACGGCCCTTGTACAAAACAGTGACAAAGGAGGAAAATGGCACAAGCAAATTAGCACTGAAGAGGGAGGATGGAGGAGAGGGAGGACAGACAACCACCCGGGTACTGATGGTCCGTCCTGATTCACCTCCTGTCCCAGCCTGACCTTCACAACCCACTGCCGACATCACAAACCAAGCCAGCTAACACCACTACACACCAACACCACAAATTGGAGAGCTGCACTTTTACGTCCCCATACAGGGCTGTCAGCTGAGGTTGATAAACTTTCTACCTCGAGGGAAAGACTGTGAGGAAAAAAAGCACGAGAAAGAGTGCGAGAAGCTGACAAAAGGGCTCAGGGGATTAAGCGCAGTAGTATCTGCTACCACGCCTCTCTCTCTGCTTATGGGGGGGGGGAACTGTTATTCGGTAGGTTCATATTACCCTGCTTCACCCTAATGCAGCTGGTGATGCTGTTATCTCCTAAATGCACAGAGATGGGCCCTGGGCCACAGGCAGTGGGTCAGGCAGCCACCAGCTTTATCCTGCTGACTTGCCCCCCCATGCTTAGAGGCATCAGGCTCTCCCATAGTAAGACACATTGAAGGCTTCAGGGAAGATGAAAAGGTCAAAGGAAACACCTTGGCTTCCTTTGTCATGCGGTGCAGAATAGCAGAATTTCTATCCATTCATCACAAATACAATTTTCATGGTAATAGCTCCATATCTCACTTACAATAGATGAAACCTGCTCTGGGAAAAAGACAAAATGCTTCTACAGCCTGACCCTGGAATAGAAGAACCTGAGGCCTTTCCCGATGGATCATTTGCCACATTCTTTAAGGAGCGTTTCAAAGACATGGAGGGATCTGTGGTATCTCCATCCCTTCCGTAATGTGGTTGGACACAAGTCACAGGCTGCAAGCTGACACTGGCTTTCAGATGCCCCCTACCACCTAAAACGAGGAGTAGATGTCACTGCCTCACTGTGAGGTGGTTCCACCTTCAGCAAAGCTAGCCACAAATATGAAGTCCGTGTCAAATGGATCACGCGGAGCTGGAGCTGAGAAAGACTCCTCCATCAATGGTTTAAGAAAAACCTTTCTTACTTTAAAGGGCAACAGAGCAGGAGTATGTAAAATGGCCAGTGAAGGTGTCTCACCATGACTGTGGTGGTGCAGCAAGAGCAGCTGAAAGGCCATATCCAACTGAAAGGACTGGTGAACTGTACCTACGACCCTTCATCCTAGAGCGATCAGCGACTTGACACTTATGAAATCTCTGTGACTCTACATAATAAAATGCTGGCCTGGGAATTATTTGTTCAAAAATGCTCATATAGTTGTGATGCCCTGTGCCCAGCCCAGGAACTCACGTCATTTTTGTTGAAGTACTTCAGTGCACCTTCCCTCTCTGATAACACGAATTTTCGGCTCAAGAATTGTCCGTTGTCACGTCCTCTCTTCCACAGAAATCCTTCTCGGTACCCTGCAGCAAAAAGGGAATCGATGAGAATCAGGAATAAAATGCTTTATTTAAAAAACAGACAGAGAAAAGGAGAACGGCTTCAACATAAAAACCAAGCAGACCAAACGTGCGTGTGGACTTTGCAAGGTATGACAGAAACAGGCTTTCTCCCGTTTATTTGTCCATCTCACTCCACTCTTGCTCTCTTTCACATCTTGTGAAAAGCTTATCTTGCACGCTTTGATGCTGTGACGCGACAGCCAAAGGGCATTTGCATTGTGCACGGCACTCTGCAACACAGGCGAAGGCTTTACAAGCCAGGCTGTGGCCCTCCAAGGGCTCCTGCAGGACAATCCTTGCCACAACTCCTGGCTCCAGGAACGATGCTCGATTGACGCGCGTAAGGAGCACTTTTGGAGCGGTTCCCAGAGGATGGCTGTCCGTATCACAGCAAACTGCACCGCGCAGCTGCGTGCCTTTGCTGGCAGCCTGCTCCGAGAGGAGCGGTTGCAGCCTCACTGAAGTCGCTGAGAGTCTTCTGAAATACATTTCTGACACAGAAAAAGGGGAAAACGCTTACAGCTCTTTCCACTGCCTTCAGCGCACTTTGACTGAGGAACTGACTGAGCCAGACTCAGCACCTTCTCCCCTCTGAGCTGGGTCATCCAGCTCCCAGACACTTTGGCCAGACAGTCCCAGGGAGCTTGTGCGGCTGCTGGCCATGCCGTACCTGCTCCATTTCCCTGGATATCAGTCCTGCGGGTGGATTTGCTGCTCATGAAGAAAGCTATTGAAAATACATGTGCCTTACTTAAAAATCAAAAGAGCCAGAGAAAGAGAAAAAAGGAAAGAATCTTAGCTCTAAAATCTGAACTCCTCAAATAAGAAAAGCGATTACAACTCAAGACTGCCGACATCTCCTGCCGCATGCAATAGCCATGATGCGCAAATTATCTCGCAGCAAGCTTAACTGATGTCCCTCTTTCAATATGCTTCACAAATAAAGAAGCCCCAAGAACTCTCCAGTACAAGCCTTGTGAAAATTAACACAGCCCCTTGGTCGTTTTCTTCCATTTATTTAAAACATAATTATATACAAGCCCCACTGAAAGAGCATTGCCTTTCTCTCTTAGTTTCATTCTTTTTAGGCTTTTGTTATTGATTCTCCAGTGCTAGGATTTAAAAGGTAAATGTTATATGTTTTATAACAACTCGCAACTAAGTAACCCTTTCTTAATGCACACAGTGGCTATGGACTGGCAGGCGGCCCGGCCTTCGCACGCACCTTATGAATCAGCGAGGTACAGAAATTCCTTATTCAACCCATTTTCCAGACAGTCGGCCATCCTCACATAGGACTTATTTAAACCACAGACAAAAAGATATGCAAAACCCCCTCAACCAGCTCCTCAACACTGACTCTGTTGGTACAGGCTTCATAAAATGCTTCCATGCGAGAAAAACTGAAAGCCAAGGAAAAAAAAAAAACCCAAAACATGCAGACACTTGCATTTAAGAAATTTAAACATCAGAAAAGACAGAAAAAAAGAGTGACACAGACAACTGCTAAAGATGCTAACCAAACAGAAGGTGCCCATCTAGCTAAACGTCTCTCTGCTGACAGCCAAAATACCTGTTTCTTTTGTCTGGGTTTATGAATTCCTAAGCCAAATGCTTTCTCCAGGTCCTCAAAGAGGCCTTTACTGGCTGCTGGGCAAAGCCATCCATGTCTGGCATCAATAAATGCAACGGTAAAAACTGCGCTGTTGCTAATCCCGAACGCTAACTACAGAGAACCTCATAAATCTAAAACACACATCAGGCTGCTGGAATGCAGGACTGCTCCTAACTCGAGACAGATGTAAGCGGTGGAAGTATTTAAAGCTGTTGGCAGCTTTTCCTTTGCTTTTTTACTCTATGTGGGTCATGTGTTGCAGCAGGGCTTTTTTAAAAATGCAGGGGGGCTTCACCCTGCCCTCCCAGAAAGCGCACGTGGTGCCACCAGGAGCCAGCACATGCCTTCTCCTCCCGCAGCCCCCAGGGAGCCCACTCTCAGGTGTTATTTACAGCCTCCTCGTGTTGGACATGCGCAGGCTCTGTGCAGCCAGTGTGCCCGCGATCCAGTGCCCCCGTTAACGGGGATCGCACGAACCTCTAGCTGCGAGCAGCCACGCCAGCCCTGGTGGCAAGTCCCGAACATCACCAGCCATCAGCCAGCAAGGTCCGGGGCAGCCGCCCCGCTCTGCCCAGGGCTGCTTACTGCGGCTTGGAGGCGCCCCGTACAGCCTGAACCCGCTGAGGTCCCACAGGCAACCACCACCCTCATCATCTCACTGCAGCCAGGACAAGGAATGAGGACTGGGAAGGACCCTAAGGATTGGCCAGACCCCACATCTGCCACCATGAGTCCAACACTCAAGCGATCCAATCGTGTATTCACTGAATCGGTCAACGTGTTCATCGGCCCAGTTCCCTTTGCTTCTTTGGAGCCGGTCTCAGCGACTTTGATATTGAAACGGTCAATGGAGTGATTTTGGACCAAACCGGCGCATCTCCCAGCAAACTGGGCTTAGCAGCATCCCGTGTCCATGAGCCTGCTCCCCTGGGACAGCCGTGCTGGTGGCATCCTGATGACTGTCATGCAGCTGGTGAACGTGGGATGCACATTGGCTCCATGGGGAGCATCGCTACCCTTTCTGCGGCCAGTGGCACGGATCCTCATCTCCCATAACCCAGCAAACTGCCATCAGCTACGTTAGCGGAGTTACAGGTGCGACGCTGTCGCTCTGCTCCATCCAGAGGCCTTCACTTGCTTCACGCTTGGGAGAGACTTCACCAAAACCAAGCACAGAACTGACCAATGCACTCAACCAAGCAACCAATTCACTCCTATCCAAACTCAAGCCATGGGCTTGTTATGTAGTTTTTCTGCAGAGAAGATATGACTAACCTGTGGAAGACACTTCCAATAGTGGAAAGAAGAGTCCACAGCAAGCAGAATTATCCCACTCCAAAAATCGAGCAAGGGGAAGCAGCTATCTGAGCAGCCAAGAAAGCCACCTAAACCCTAGTAGTCAAGGACAGCAGCATCTGACAGTGGAGCACGAAAGGCACCGAGAGATGCCCTAGGACCCTCATCACCACCATGGCACGAATTAATTCTCGTCTTTGCGGGAATCTGAGAGACCCTGAGTCAGACCCAGCTCCTTTCCAGGCTCGTATCAGCAGAAGTACTCCACATGCCCCCGCGCGCAGGACACAGCAGCTCTGAACGGGAGCAATGGCCCTCTCGTTGAGGCTGCTGACAGCAGACAGACAGGCAGTAGGTGATGCCTGGCTGATATGTTTATAAAATACAAGATTTGCTTAACATGAGGCAGAGATGCTTCCTGGCTTCTGACGGCTGGCGTTTGCTGGCTGCTCTCTTGAATAGCAAAATGTTAAGCAGCTTGTCCTCAAAGCCGCTCTGTGCGGTTTAGAAACCAAGGACAGACAGTTGCTATTTCCTGAAGGGTGCCAATATTTAAAGCCAAGCCAATTGGAGCAACGGGAGAGTACTTCAAAAGCCATTTCTATTCATTCCATTAAACCAGAGAGACAGCTTCAGAGCCTCTCAGCCGCGTCGCTGCGACTGGCATCGGGGAGACACTAACATCCCACGGGAGGCTGGGCAGAAGCTGGATTTGGAGGAAAGGACATTGGTGTCAAATAAGAGAGACAACGCATGTAGGACAGAGACATCTCCAAATGCAAACACAAGGGAATAACAGGAGAAAAGGCCACCTTTTCCTTCAAAAAATCCCCACCTGGGGTTCATTCAGTTCAGCAGCATGTGCTAGGTACAGAGACTGGGGATCAGAGCTGCTCTGCTCTCAGCAGCTCAGCTCCAGAAGTTCTGGCTGTGGGTCTCATTCACTCCTTCATCTTGAGTGTTTCATCTAACTGATGCTTCACTCATTTCTTATTAAATCTGTTCCCCTCCCCACTACCTTTTCAGTGATTTTTCTTAACTATTAAGGGTTAAAGAATAAAACTGTTCTACATTTCCCCAAACTAAATCTCAAATAATCACAAATTTGCAAATTCCACCTAGCTTCTACCCCTGGCAGACGGGTCTCTGTTTTATATGAAGAATGTTTATATGAAACTGTTTTATATGAAGACCAGGAAGCACAGAGAGGCTTGGTGAGCTGCCCAGGACAATAAATACGATGCATAGTGTCAAAGTCACATTGGAAACCTCGGTTTCCCTGCCCTCTTACCTAGGGACGTTTTATCATTTTCACCTCCTCTTTCCAACCCTTTGTGGCAAAATACGGTATTTGAATTCCATCAAGGGAGAATTAAAAAAAAAAAAAAAAAAAAAAGCATGATCCCTTTCCGTAGTTCACATGCTGGCTCTCTCCAGCGCGATCCGTCTCTGTAAAAGAGCTCCTGGTTGCTCTGACAAAGCCAGCTGCTAATTTTGTTATATTCTGGTACAGGTTTTCATAAACCCTTTGCTTGCTTCTTTTCTTTCTTTCTTCCTTCAGGACTGTGTCCTCAGGACAGCTCTGCTCTGCCCAAGTCTGTTGTCTGCACCCCTGTCAACACTGGTAAGCACAAAACACGATGAATTTGGACTTGAACTGAACATGAACTCACCCAGGCTCCCCAGGCAAAGAGCATGTCGGCAAGACGTGTACTCAATGTCTGGGTCTAAAAAAATTTTGAACACAGCTAGAGAAGGGTTTCAGAGACAACGCCTGCAGCAGGCGGAGCAGGGAAGCAGAGCTCAGGCTGGAAGACATCAGAGCTGGATCAGTGCCTACCTAAACCAGCTCTCCTTGTCTCTGTGGGCCGCACTGATTTAGCCACAGCTTCATATTTAGAGATATCCGGCCAAATTCAGACCTTGCCTTCACGAGGGCTGCTCTGCTTACAACAAAGCGAACCGACGGGCAGCCCTGCGCCGCTCGCCGGTAGCCAGCACAGCCCTGCCAACACATTTGCTTCCTTTCCCAAAGCGCAGAGCGAAGGCT